CAATATGGATGGAGTTAGAGAGTATTATGTTAAGTGAAATATGTCAGTCAGGGAAAGACAAATACCCTATGATCTTGCTCATACATGGAATTTAAGAAACAAATCAAATGAACATAGGAGGAAAAGAAAGAGAGGCAAACCAAGAAATAGACTCTTAATTCTAGAGAACAAACTGATGCTTACTGGAGGGGAGGTGGGAGTGAGGAAACAAGTTAAACAGGTGAGGCAGATTGTAGGTAAGTACTGAATCACTAAATTCTATACCTGAAACTAATATTGTACTACTGTATGAAAACTATTGTACTATTATTGTATGTTAACTAGCTGGAATTAAAATAAAAACTTGATGAAAAAAATCAATATTTCTCTGATTACAAAGCTTTTGTTCTTAAACTTTAACATATTCAGGGATGATATTCAAAATATTTAACAACTCAAATTAATATAAATTAAAATATAAATAAATATATAAATCAAAATTTATTTTTAAATTCCCTTCATTCTCAACTCTCCATATTATAAGCCTGTTTATCAAGTAATAAATGTTGTAGTGCAAACTATTCACCAAATAAGCCTAATAAATTCAAGTCATTTTTTAATTTTTAAAAAATGTTGCTCAAATTTTTTGTGATTTTTTTTGATGCCAACTGTCATTAGGCAAATGATGCCCCTTTCTGAGCCATGAAGTGACCTAAGTATATTAAATTCTTCCAACTCTCCCACTAAATTGATAGTCATTAATTTTGAGTCTCTCAATAACTAGATGAAAGTTATTAATTTCAATAATGCTTGTAATACTGAATCTTCTATCAGTCTCTGCTAAACAGAAAATGCATTTTAAGAAAAGTTCTATTCTTTACAATAATGTCTGAGATCCTCACAGTTATCTATCTCTTGTTTTAAGTCATAAAAATCACTTATTATACTGTCATATTTATTTTTCATAAGCCTAATTCTTCAAGCCAGAGGAGAAGAGCACAAAACAAGAAAGTGAACTAACTCTATTAGTAGATTGCTTCAGTTTGAATTCTGACTCTGTCATTTGAACTTTAAATTCTGAGCCTCAGTTTCCTCATTTTTTAAGATTTATTTATTTATTTGAGAGAGAGAGATAGAGCATGTGCACAAGTGGGGGAAAGGGCAGAGGGAAAGGGGGAGGGATAATCCTCAAGCAGACTTCCCACTGAGTGCAGAGCCTGTCATGGGGCTCCATCCTAGGACCCTGAGATCATGACCCCAGCCAAAAGCAAGAGTTAGCAGCTTAACTGATTGAGACACCAGGCATTCCCTAGTTCCCTCATTTTTAAAAATCTCCATAATTATAGTACTCAAATGAGTATCATTTGGCATGATGCCTGGTACAGAATAAACACTATATAAACACTAGCTCTTACTTTTATTAATAAAACTAATTTCATTAATATCTGTGAGAGATGTTTTGTTTTTTAACAATTCACATCATTACGTGAATATAAAATGTAACAGATTCTCAGGGGTGATTCCCCTAATATTCATTCAAAATCAAAGCGTCCAATACCACTAACTTCTCTCCAATCCTCTAATGGGTAGGAAAAGAAGATTTATATCACTGTTAACCTGCACAGCTTGCCCTCTGGAGTTTTAACTGTATTAATGAATTTTCTTTGAGACTACCCACTGTGAGAGAGTTTTAAGCTTTATTTCATTCCCTAGAGGCCTTGGAAGCTTTAAAAATTAAAATTCAATGTCATCTGGTTTGGCAAAGGTTCTCATAGTAAAAGTGAACTTCAGTGATCTACTTGTCACTCTCTGCCCCCTCCCTTAATTTAGCTTTTAGCCTGTGTACTCCTTATTTCTTCCTAATTCTGGAAGCACTCATGAATATATTTATTTCTAATTTATCTATAATTTTGATGTTTGCAGAGAATGGGTCAGTTCAGTCGCCAGTAGATCATGCCATTCCAAATATATATTCATCATTAACTCATGAGTACTATTTTTATTTTAAAATAATATATTCACAGCACAGATATCAAATTATGATTCTAAAATGAACAGTAAAATTGTCTTCCTTGACCTCTCTCTAGTTCCATTCTCAGAAATAATTTATTTTAACAGTAACTGAGTTATTACTTAGAAGTTTTTTTGGGTTTTTTCTTTTTTTTTGTATTTACCATTACAAGTTTAATATAAGGAATTATACTGCAATTTGTCAATTTTTGACAACTCTTGACTCTGAGTACTATAAGAAATCTGGCACATTTTACAGTTTCCCAATCTTTCACTTCTTGTTTTTATTGTCCTACTGATACTAAGTTTTCTAATATTTATATTTCTATATTATAACTAGGTCTTCCATACTTCATATAGATTGATCTAAAACCACTCAGTATTAAAACAAAAATTTGAATATCATAGTTATTTCCTATCAAACCAACTAGTATAGCCAAACACATAGAGAAGTAAATGAAATTCTGTCACCAAATTCATGATTCTTCAAGAATGACCCACAAATGAGCTAAAAATGCCTTCTTTATTAATTTGTTTTCATTTTACTTTACACAAGAAATGTTTATTCTAGGGGTGTATCACCATTCTCTCATTTCCCTTTTTATATTTTGCTGGAGCATCTTTATACATGGAAATGTAAAAGTACTAACTTTCTGAGCTCTCCCATGCCAGAAAATTATTTTCTTGATTCATTTACATTGGATAAAGGCAGAATTTTATATTCGAATTTATTTCCTCTTGGAAATTCAAGAAAGTATTATTTCATTATCTCCTAGCTCTGAAATGTTACTAATGCTGCTGGGAAAGTGTTTGATATCATTATGTTTCTCATCCCTCTGTAGGTGACCTAGTTACTTTTCTCTGTGGAAGCTTCAAGGGTATTTTAATTCTAGTTTTCTGGAAATGCAAAACAATATAAAAGGGATGTATGTCTTTTAAAATTCAAGTTCCTTGGTATTTTGTTGAGTTCTTCTAATTGAAGATTTCTGTTTTTATTCAGTTCAGGATAACTTACTGTTTTTTATATCAAATACTCCTAACTACTATCTTGGCATTCTGTTTCTGGAATGCCTAATAAACAGATGTTTGGCTTGTTTCTAGCTTCCATTTATCATATTTTCAATCAGTTTGTCTTTTTATATTAAAATAATGCTATGTTGTAGTTTAAAAAAAAAACCTATTTCATTGGGACCATGTAAAAGAAAGAGAGATATATGTATATGTCTTTCAAATGAAACCAGAAGCCTGAATTTTTAAATATTTTTATATGAAACTTATAAAAATGTTGAAAATCAAACTATATACCCCTTAAAATTACAGCATATCTATACATGTAAATTTTAAATATGTAGAAGGTAAATTTTCTAATATTTTTAAGTAAAAATTATAAAATTAATTCCATTATTTCATAAGTTTGAGATCAATTTTGACCTGAGATCAATAATTTGGATTTTTTATGAGATATATACTCATATGTTTTAAGGGCATGTTATTTGCAGAAGAGTTTCCAAAATCAAAGTGTTCTGTGTGACTAAACTATTTTGCTTCTTGGGTAAGCAAGGTATCACCCAATACTTTCAATTGCAAGTATTTCATGTCAAAAAACAGCAATACTTAAAAAAGGAGTTTCCATATCCAAGTTAAAAGAGAAAAATTTACATTAAGTAAAAGCAACTGGTAGAATAACTCATCTTCTTTAGGACTCATCACCAACTTGTTTCACTACAAACACATTTAGCAAATGCATATGCATTCTTTATGGGTACCTTCATAGATTTGCATTTTTTCCTAGTAGCTATAATATTATAATAGAAATAACTATGAATTCACTAAATATTCTTATGCTTAAAAACTCTGTACTAGTAATAAATGACTTCTGACATTCTCCACAGTGGATCCTAATGTGTACAATGACTCACTTGAGAAACACAACACAACCATAAAATTTCTCAAGATAAAGAAATGATCTATTAAAACATTTTTAAAAACCACATTTATTTAACAAGTATGAGACTCTCCCGTGTCAAGAACACTGCTGGATGATTTTAAACTCTCTTTGAACTTACAGCGACAAAAAAAATCATAGAACCTGATGCTAATGTCTGATAGCATTTCTGATAGCTCTCATCAAATTAATTTCTTTGACATCTTAGACATTCCCAGATATCAATTTAACTAGCTTGCATTTGTCCTTTCTTTAAATTAGTTCTTCCTAATTTTCTATCAGTTACCTCACCACTAAAAGCATTGTAATTCAACTCTTTGCATTGTGCACCTACTAAAATTTTATTTCAGCAAGCAATGCTACTTCTCAAGTTGATGGCTAAACTTTAAAACCTGGTTGATGAGCTTGTTTTGATAATTTGTTATTAATAATATAATGACAGCCCAATTTCTATAAAAATTCATTTTAACAATACCTACACATGGAAGGCTAACTTTTTAACTGCAAATTTCAAATTGATCTTTTAGTAAATTTATTCTGAATGAAACAGTCAAGTATTCATTTTTAAATTTCATCTGCTTTACTTATTTCAACTTATTCAATAGTAGGTATTTATAAAATGGAAATTTAGTTAGAAAAAATCATATCAACAGTTTAAAATACAAATTAGCATGGATTAAAACAGGGCACTGAAGGTCTTAGGTACAAGATGGATTTAAACTGAAAAGAAAAAATTTACACTGATAAATAAACTGAGCTGAACCTAAAGTAAACCTTCTACTTCATACACAACAAGATTATATTTTCCTATATATCCTAAAAACAGATGTTCTCTGGCCCGACAGGAGATGTTCCATGTAATAGTCTCTCTCAGAGCAATGCTAGACTTCTGCTTAGCCTTCAAGAATTTTGTTCAACTTTAAAAATAAGGAAGTACATGCTAGCCAAAGATGTTACAACAGCCTACCAGGTACCTCTCTCAGATCCTAATATACTGTTCATGTTATACAGTCTTTCCATGATTCCTAGATTACAAATAAGGTTGGTTATAGAGGAGTCTTCTTACCATATCTGACAGTTTAGTAGATCTTTGTGTTCTTGACAAGAAAGCAGCATAGTAGTTAGTCAAGTCAGGTAGTTCATCAGAAATTCCAACCTGTGAATTCCGAAAAGCACGTTGAAAGAAGGGATAAAAAGTATGTATCATTCCTAATTATCAATTCAAGTGGCACAAAAAATAATAAATTTGCAAGAAAGTATATCAAGGTTGTTCTATCATTGGAGATAGACGTATTTATCATAAATTTTAAGTGGGATATAAAAGTAAAAGACTTTAAGTCAATGAGATACTAAAATTTAAAAAGAGTTGATTATAAGAACTCTAGAAAAGTAGGATGGATCTACATACATTATTTAAACACATTAAGAGGGGATCCCTGGGTGGCTCAGCGGTTTAGCGCCTGCCTTTGGCCCAGAGTGTGATCCTGGGGTCCTGGGATCAAGTCCCGCATCGGGCTCCCTGCATGGAGCCTGTTTCTCCCTCTGCCTGTGTCTCTGCCTCTCTCTCTCTTTGTCTCTCATAAATAAATAAATAAATAAATTTTTTAAAATAAAAAAATCAACACATTAAGAGTGAGTTATTACCATACTGTAATGTCAAATTTAGACATCAATTTGTGTTGCTTCGTAACACATATATAAATAATATATATGATATTTAGCCAATCATATAGTATTATTTGTTAGTACTAAATTATTAATACATAACTTAAAAATATATTAACAGTAACTACTTAAATTTATTATGTAGAAATCCTACATTAATAAATTTTCTAAACAAAATGATCCACACTCTCTTGAATATTGTAAATCATTACGTGCATTGTGAATGTAAATTAATAGGCTACATGAAGCTGGTAATCTAAAAATTTAATTAGCAATTAATTAATCCTTGTGATATTATGCTTCTGATTCATCATACAATTTAGTCATTTGCATTCACTTAATATTTTAAACTGTATAACCAGTAGTAACATTCTTTGTGTATACAAAAGAGAATTTCTTTTCCCATTTTTACACACTTCACTGTTTTTATTCCAGAATTTGGTATGCATATTTAGTAATTTAGAATTTGATACCACGTAGAATAATTAGATATCTCTTTCTTTGTTCACTTTATGAGGAATAGTAATCTACTAAAAACTCCATCCCTCACATGCTGGATCTTTGAAACTATATGCCTCTCTACCCTAAATGCTGAACTAGTGCTTCTCCACACTTTTCCTAATACTAATCCTATCTAGTCACCCAAAGGAAAACTGATTTTACCACTTTATAAAACAGAAATCCAGTCACATCTTGTGAAAACCTTCAAATATAGAGTATCTGAACATTATTATTTTGTGTGATTTTATATTTATTGATGATGAAAAAATAATTCACTTTTATAATAATTTTATTATCAGGTATGTGGTACTAGAAATTACAGAATAAAGAAGTTCTTGAAAGCATCTTAAAATTTTTTAAAAGATTTTATTTGAGAGAGAGACAGTGAGAGAGAGTGAAAGCACAAGTGAGAGGAAGGGACAGGAAGAGAGGAAGAAACAGACTCCCCGCTGAGCAGGGAGCCAGATGCCTGATGTAGAGCTTCATAAAGGGCTCAAACCGAGGACCCTGAGATCATGATCTGTGCTGAAGGCAGACACTTAACTGACTGAGCCACCCAGGCACCCACATTTTATAATTTTTACTGTCTATGGGTAGAAGTTCAGAAAACAAATCAGTCATTGGATGACGTGGATTTTAGAGGCAGTAAGTTTGCACAAAACCACATTTTTACCAAAAATAATTTAAATACAGATAAAATATAAGAAAATCCTATTTTTAAAGGCCTCATAGAGTTGTGGATGCCTCTAACTTTGAGTTGTCAGCATAGACAAAAGAGGCTAAGATTCTAAATAGGGTAGAACTTCTGAAAGATAAGCTATCATTTTGTAGGTGCTTTCTCCCTGGTGGCATTTACTCATAACAGGCAACAAAGAAAGAATTTGAGTTTTGACCTGGTGAGGCTGCTGTTAAAGAGCTGAGAAAAATCTTACTGTGTTCTTATTAAGCCAGAATGGCAAAATTTCAGGTTTGAGGAGCCTCAAAAACACATAATTTTCCCTAGGAACCTTTTTGCCATTGGATAAGGGATGGGGTGATGCTAAAAATCTAAGCCAAAACACAAATGTATTAAAGACTGAAGTTCAGAACTTGACAGAGGCCTTGACCACATCAGGCTTACAGCTAAAATCTCTAGAGAACTACTTAAGAAAATTAACAAACCAGAGGTAAACTAAGCCCTAGAAAAAATATAATCACTATAATAATGACTGGATTAAGGTAATCTCAGATTTCCATCTGCCATGCAAAGGAAAGTATAAAATCTCTCTAGTCTAACATAACACCATTTAAAGTCTCTATGTTACATGCAACATATGGCATTTTGTTAAAAATTAGAGGGCATGCCAAAAGATAGACATGCATGATCAAAACTCAAGAGAAAAAAAATAACAGAAAATAACAACAGACTAATAGGTGATGTAGGTACTGGAATTAATACACAGAACTTTAAAATTAGTATAATTAATGTGTTCAAGAAAACAAGAAAATAATGAAAAAGAAGAGCTAAAAACATGGAGAATTTCTCCTGAGAAGTAAAATCTTTGTAAATATTTAAATAGAATTCATTCTAGAACTAAAAATAGAATATCTGAAATTAAAAAATAGATCAGTGTAATAGGATTTGAAACAGTTAAAAAAAAATTAAAAGATTAGTTAATTGAAAGATATGCCCGAAGAAATCTAAACTGAAGCACAATAAAAAAAAATTAAATTAAATTAAAAAAAAAGAAAACATGATACTTAGGGACTATAATAAATTTAAAAAAAAAGAAAACATGATACTTAGGGACTATAAGAGATGAGGCATAGTAAATCGGTGTAACATATCTATTTCTTAGAGTCTCCAAAAGATATGCAGAAAGAATGTGACAGAAGAAATTTATGAAGATATAACAGTAAAAATTATTTAAAATTATGAAAGACCCAACTGCAAACCTCAGACAAGTAAGTATAAAGAGAACCACACTTCTGCACATTGAATAGACCCCCCCCAAAAAAAAAGACATTTGCTTTCAAAGAAGAAACAAACTTGACAATGTACTTCTCAGTAGAAATGACAGAAGGCTTAAAACAATATAATAACATCTTTAAAGTACTGAAAGAAAATAACTACCAACACAAAAACCCAACCCCCCAAATTAAAAATGACAAAATAAAGACATTTTCAGAAAAAACAATAATTCATCATCAACAGAACTTAACCAAAAGAAGCACTAGAGGGGATTTTTCAGGCAGAAGAAAAATGATGGATACAGAAACACAGAAATGCAGAAAGAAACAAAGCATAAAAGAGAAAGTAAATGTTTTGGTAAATATGAATAAATATTGACTGTACAAAACAATAATATTCAAAGGGTTTAAAGTATACATAAACTTAAAATGTATGACAATAATGAATAAAATAGGAGGTAGCAAAATGGAGCTAAAATGTTTTAAGTTAGCATTATCAAGAAAGTGGTAAAAGTAATCCTTTTCTTAAACTGCAAAGAGTGAAGGAGGGGCAAGATGGCGGAAGAGTAGGGTCCCCAAATCACCTGTCCCCAACAAATTACCTAGATAACCTTCAAACCATCCTGAAAATCTACGAATTCGGCCTGAGATTTAAAGAGAGACCAGCTGGAACGCTACAGTGAGAGGAGTTCACGCTTCTATCAAGGTAGGAAGACGGGGGAAAAAGAAATAAAGGAACAAAAGGCCTCCGAGGGGGAGGGGCCCCGCGAGGAGCCGGGCTGAGGCCGGGGCGAGTGTCCCCAGGACAGGAGAGCCCCGTCCCGGAGGAGCAGGAGCTGCACCAACCTTCCCGGACGGGCGGAAAGGGGCTCGCAGGGAGTTGGAGCAGGACCCAGGAGGGCGGGGATGCCCTCGGGCTCCCGGGGACACTAACAGACACCTGCGAGCGCAGGAGAGTGCGCCGAGCTCCCTAAGGGCTGCAGCGCGCACGGCGACCGGAGCAGCTCGGAGGGGCTCGGGAGCGGCTCCAGGGAGGGGGCTGCGGGGCGGGAGCGCGAATCCAACAACGCAGGCCCCGGAGCACAGGGCGCCGGGACACAGCCCAGGATCCGGCCTCCCCCGGGACAGGCAGAGGCCGGGAGGGCCCAGGACAGCAAGGACGCTCCTGCCCCGAGCTGAGCAGATCAGCGGCCCCGCCCCGGAGCCTCCAGGCCCTGCGGACGGAGAGCCGAGAGCCCCGAGCCCCGTAGTTCCTGCGGAGGCTGAATCCAGGCTTCCAGAGTTGCCATAGCAACTGCGACTGTTCCTCCTGAGACCTCACGGGGTAAACAACCCCCGCTGAGCCCTGCAGCAGGCAGGGGCAGAGCAGCTCCCCCAAGTGCTAACACCTGAAAATCAGCGCAACAGGCCCCTCCCCCAGAAGACCAGCTGGACGGACCAGTTCCAGGGGAAGTCAAGGGACTTAAAGTCTACAGAAATACTCCCCAGTGTTTTTTTTTTTTTCTTTTTTCTTTTTTCTTTTCTTTTTGATTTCTGATTGCTTCCCCCACCCCCTTTTTTTTTCACCTTTCTTTCTTTTTCTTTCCCTTTTTCTTCTCTTCTTTCCTTTTTCTTTTCTTTTTCTTTTTTCTTTTTCTCTTTTCTTTCCTTCTCTCTCTTTCTCTCCTTTTCCCAATACAACTTGTTTTTGGCCACTCCGCACTGAGCAAAATGACTAGAAGGAAAACCTCACCTCAAAAGAAAGAATCAGAAACAGCCCTCTCTCCCACAGAGCTACAAAATCTGGATTACAATTCAATGTCAGAAAGCCAATTCAGAAGCACTATTCTACAGCTACTGGTGGCTCTAGAAAAAAGCATTAAGGACTCACGAGACTTCATGACTGCAGAATTTAGATCCAATCAGGCAGAAATTAAAAATCAACTGAATGAGATGCAATCCAAACTAGAAGTCCTAACGACGAGGGTTAACGAGGTGGAAGAACGAGTGAGTGACATAGAAGACAAGTTAATGGCAAAGAGGGAAACTGAGGAAAAAAGA